CCGTCCGCCCCGCGCCCGCGCTCGCCCCGCCCCCGAACCCGGCCCCGAACTCAGAGAGGGAAGCTGCCACACGCTGCTGCCGGCTCTTCGCCAGGAGTTCCACCACTCTCCAGCTCCTCCAGATTCCTGCTTTAAAATACTGCTGGGGCCCACATCACATATGGAGTGCCAGCATTCCAGCCTCTACTGCGCTCCAGATAACAGCATTCCAGGGCCTACAGTGCTCCCTGGGATGTGTTGGTGCAAGTCCCTGGGGCCCTGCCACCCACGTGGGAGACCTGGATTGGGTTCCCAGCTCTGGCTTTGGCCTGCCAAGCCTGAGCTGTTGCGTGCATTTGAGTAGTGAACCAGAGGATGGAAAATTTTTCTGCCTTGCAAATAGTAACTAACAATTTCCCAACTGTGCTTTGTTGTGGGAATAGGGATCCCCAAATTACGTTGTGATCGAGAGTCCTGACTGGGCTCAGAAAAAAACCCTCGAGCTGTACCTAGTCCAGGTTTTCCTTTGCAATCTTTCCTTACAACCTGGGAACATAAATAAGAAAAGGAGGATTTACTGAAACACAGATAGTACATGCTCAGATGGGAGTACAGAGAACTGCCCCCTAACCAGGCTGGGGTCTTCCTTTTATAGGGTAGGACCTGGCTGAAGGCCCAAATAAGACAGGATTTGGAGTGGGGCTCTAGTGCACGTGGTGGTCTCTGGGGAAGGTGTCATGGCACCTGGTGCCTGCTGTAAGGTGAGGCTTGGCTTCATGAGGAGTGCATGTAGACAGGATTTGGGTAGTACACAGGGCTCAGGTGCTGGCAGTCCTTACTCATGTCCTTGACTCCCTGCCCTGCTCACATCATCCTCCACAGAGAGGCTGGCTGCTGTGTTCAGTATAATTGGAAGTGTCTTCCTGGTCTGATATGATTTGGTGCTGAGTTTGAGGCTTATTTCAACACTGCTGAAGATGAGAAACATATTACTTTAATATTGTGTTGACTATGAATAAAAGGGCAAAATAGAGAAGGGATACAGAGGGTTACCCGTTGCAGACTTTTAGGGAAGAGTGGGGAAGTAGCAGAAATAGTAAAGGCCTTGAGACAGAAATGAAGCCAGTGTGGCGAGAGCAGCACAAGCCAGGGGAAAATGGAAAGCTCACAGAAGGCAGGAGGCAGACATCGTGAAAACCCAGTTTAACGGAAGCCATTACTCAGGAAACAAGGCACTCTGTTCATATCCTAAAGCATGTCCTTTCTTACAGGGCATTGGATGGCGAGGATGAGGGTCAGGACTATCACTGGGGGTTCTTTTTCACAGATGGAGTAAGGAATTAATGCTTCAGTGAGGTCAAAGTAGGCATAGTAAAGCAGTTATTTACGAAAGTTCCAAGGGATGAACTGGCCAGTCCTGAGGAAACATGGACCTCCTTACAGGTACTAAAGTGAATTTAAAAAGTACATTCCAAGGGGGGATTGGGCCAGTGGAGAGCATGGCACCTTTTCTTCTTGGTTTGGGGCTTTCATCCCAAGTTTGAGAGGCACTGTTGATGTGGCCATGACACTCATGATTGGCATTTGTGACTGACATCTGGGAGTTGCATAACTTTGGGCTCTCTGCATGTGGCTGTAAACTAGACTTTCCTAGTTTGGTTGAGCTTCCCATTTACCAGGATAACTTTAACCATAAGCTAAAGTGCAAAGTGAATAGTCTTTGCTGGGTCCTGGTGGAGAGCAGGCTTCCTGGCTCTGGCCACTCAAGCCTAAATCATCTACCTGACAGAAATTACAAAGGCAGTGCAACAAACCATGTGAGAAATATTTAGCTTGGTTTAAGGTGGTAACTATGGGAATGAAGCAAAAAGCAGATTCAAAACAGCCCACAAGACTCACACATAAACTGGACATGGCAAGTGAGAAGCAAAAAGAAGTTATGAACAAGTGAGGTTGAAAGAAAAACAGGTTTGGTTGAAAAATTGAATTTGTGTTAAGGTAAGTAATCTGTGAGGCTTATCATAAAATTAGGTGGAACAACGAACTATGCCACTAAACTGGTGCTCTGAGAAAGGCTGAATATACCATTTGAGAAATAGCAGAAGACAAATGCTACAATATTCTTTTCACCAGAGAAAAGTAGAAAGGATAGCCCAGATTTGATATCATGAAGGAACTGGCAGGGCCTGGCACTGCAGCACAGAAAGTTAAGCCAGCATCCCATAATGGAGTGCCTCAGTCCCAGCTGCTCCACTTTGAATCCAACTAATGGCTCATGGGGCTGGGAAGGCAGTGGAAAATGACCCAAACACTTGGGCTTCTGCCACCCATGGGAGATCAGGGTGGAGTTCCTGACTCCTGGCTTCTGCCTAACCCAGATCTTGCTGTTGTGGTCACTTGGCGAGTGAACCATCAGACAGAAGCACTCTCTTATCTTACCTTTTAAATAAATCTTAAGGAATTTGCAAATACAGGGTAAGATATAAGGAAACCAGGAGTGTTTTCATAGAAGCAAAGAAAATAAGCTGTTTGAAAAATAAACATTCAATTATTGGGTGCTGTGGAACGTTTATGAGGATTGGAAGCATTAGAACTACAATGAGACTTCTGGCAAGTGCAATTTTGCAGGAAGTTGAGCTTTTTGTTAAAGTAAATGAATTTTACCATTGCAAAGTGTGGTAGGCAGGCCAATAGTCCCCTGTAAATAACCTACTTTATATGGAAAAAGGGACTTTGCAGATATGATTAAAGGTCTTGAGCTGTGAAGATCATTCTGGATTGTCCAGGTGGGTCCAAAGCATCCATACACATCCTCCTGGGTGAAAAGGGGCAGCAGGAGAGTCAGTCAGAGACCTCAAGACTCCATGCTGCTGGCTTTGTAGACAGAGGTGGGAACATGGAGCCAAGGAATGCAGTTGGCTCCCTGAAGCTGAAAAAGGCAAGGGAAGTCTCTCTTAGAGCCTCCAGAAGAAATCCAGCTCTGCCAACACCCTTTTGGCTCAGATTTATTTCTGACTTACGAAGTTTCAAACTGTAAGATAATAAATTTGTTTTAAGCCATTTTGTGGTAGTTTGTTACAGTAGCAACAGGAAACCAATAAAAAGTAATATGTTTCAGACTTTAATGAAAACTAAGTAGAATAAATGTCAACTTGCGGCAGGCATTTGGCCTCAAGAGTTAGGACTGGAGCACTGGATTTGAGTGCTGGCTCCACTCCTGATTCCAGCTTACTGTTAATGTGCATCAAGAGGTAGCAAGCGATGGTTCAGGTAGCAGGGTTCCTTCCACTCACGTGGGAGACTCAGTTCAGGCTCCTGGCTTCATCCTGACCTAGCTCTGGTTGTTGCAGGCATTTGGGGAGTGACCCATTACATAGAAGCTTGCTCTCTGTTGTATCTCTAAAGAAAAATACGTAAATCTTGACTTTAATTTAGAGTACATCAGACTGGGATATGAGTCTGACCAACTCCTGCAACACTGAAAATAAATACTATTGCAGAGCAGAGGATCAGAAATCTATCTGACCACATACATAAACATATACAGACATATATATGACCACATAAATCCACCTCCAGGCTAGTGTTGTGGTGCAGCAGGTTAAGCTACTGCTGTGAATGCCAACATCCCATTCTGGAGTACTGGCTACTCTAGCTTCCTGCTGATATACCTTGGAGAAGAGCAGATGGCCCAAGTCCTTGGGCCCCTGCTGCCCATGTGGAAAACCAGGAAGGAGTTTCAAGCTCCTGGTTTCAGCCTAGGCCAGCCGTGGCTTTTGCAGCCATTTGGGGAATTAACCAGCAGATGAAAGATATCTGTCTCTCCCTCTCTCTTATCATTCAAAAATAAATGTCTTTTTTTTTAAATAAGGGCTACTCCCCATGAGACCCTATGTGGGTCATCAGCTGGTTCCTCTGAAATACTTCTCCTGGCCCTGTAAGGCTGTCAAAGTCTACAGTGCTTTTTTCTGGTTAAGGAAAAAATCCTCAAAAGTGAATCTTATATTTTGGTTGGTTCTTTTGCTTTTAAGCAAAGTTATCAAGGGTCATTCATAAGGTCAATCAGGAAAAAGCAAACTGGCAGAGAAGTTATTCATTGCACAGAAATCTAACTCACTAATAACCCTTCCACGTTTTAAAAAATAATTACAAGTTTAAATTTACTTGATCCAATTTATTAGAAAGCTGACCAAAAAAGGCTATTATTTGAAAGCAACCTGTAATTAAAGGATGAGGTAAAATAAATTTTGATAAGACACTGAGGTTTATAATTATCCCATTTTCATAAGATCCTTTCTGTACAAACAGAGTTACATTAATGTGCATTGATGATTACTCAATTTTAGTAGGTTCTTGGGGGGCTAGATTTTAGTGATATTTCTACTAGCTTCCTGCTTCTGTTTTTTTTCCTTATAAATTGCATGCATCATTTTGATAAAGTCATTAAAATACAGGTCAAGATTTCTATCCAGCCATGAAAGGAAGGTAAATTCAACTCCAGCAAAAGACATAAAAAGACATAAATTTCAAAAATTCAGTACTTTTTTTTTTTTTGACAGGCAGAGTGGACAGTGAGAGAGAGACAGAGAGAAAGGTCTTCCTTTAGCCATTGGTTCACCCTCCAATGGCCGCCATGGCTGGCGTGCTGCGGCTGGCACACTGCGCTGGATCCAAAGGCAGGAGTCAGGTGCTTCTCCTGGTCTCCCATGGGGTGCAGGGCCCAAGCACTTGGGCCATCCTCCACTGCCTTCCTGGGCCACAGCAGAGAGCTGGCCTGGAAGAGGGGCAACCGGGAAAGAATCCGGCGCCCCGACCGGGACTAGAACCCAGTGTGCCGGCGCCGCGAGGTTGGAGGATTAGCCTATTGAGCCGTGGCGCCGGCCACTTAATTTCAAAATTAGGAAACAACGTTCACTACAGATTCTTCAAGCAAACTGCCTTTTGCTATGGTTACAATGTAGAAAAACGTTCAGGCTATTTCTAGATATATCTATCAGTTTTTCCCAAAGAAACAAACACTCTTTTGTTTTAGAGACATTTTATTTAGACAACTAAAAACAATTAGATGTTCTGAAGCAGGTACAATGAAAAGAAATCAAACCAGTTACTTTATCATGTATTCCCTCTTCTTTGCAAGTAAAGAAAAGGAAAAAAAAAAGCATTCTGCTGTAAGGGAAAGTCAGAAAAATAGGCCAATATATTTTTCTTTTCCATAATAACATAAACAGCTACAAGAAATCTAATTGTAATAAGAGAAATTGGATGTTGGCTTGCACATATTCATTAAAAAGACAACAGGCTGTTGTATTATAATAGCATAACTCCACCTGCCTTCGTCAGATACTCCTGAGTTTTCACTTACAGGTAACACCACGTTAGTAGTTCCGAAACTCAAGCTAATTCATATTCCCCATTATTTACTGCTGTGGTTGTCCTAAGCAGAGAGTAACTCTGGGAGGCTGACGCTATTCTCTGCTTGCTCATCTTAGTCCATAAACTGTATATTATCTGTGGCAAATGCTTCATGCTCAGGCCTTTACTTCAGGAGTTGAAGAATAGATGGAATCTGAATTCTCTGAAGCAATTTCTTCTACAATTAAAAAACATACATTAGTTTAACAAAGAAGCAACTATAAAATTCTATATAAAAAGTAAAGATCTTTTGAAGAAGAACTGTGGTGAGGGAGGAGAAAAAGTGAACAACTACACATGTCTTCAATGACTAAATTCATGCCATTGAAAAAACAAGGAAGAACACGTTCATGGTTACAATCGTAACTTAACTTCTACGGGTCACAGTTTCTGGACTAAATTTTCAACAACTCTAGCTATCCAATGAACACTGAATTAAAGTCATCTCTTTAAAAGATATGGCTCTTTCCTTTAGTGATTCAAACCTCAATATTTAATGCTATTCAAAATCAAAACATTAACCATCAAACATTAAGTTTTTTACAAAAAAATACTTAATAAAGAAAAATTCCTCGTAAATGCTAAATCTCTTCCCAAGTTCCCCCTTCAATCATCACACCCAGTTTGTCATGCCAGCAATCTCGAATCTTTCTTATCATACTTCCAATGTACATCTAATAAACTTACCAAGTTTTATCAATTCTAAAAGAAATGACTCTCCTTCATCTACCTTTTTCTGTTCTCAACGCTGTTCCCCAATTCTAAACCAAGGATTGTTCATCTAGAATGCAGTGACACCTATCTGGTCTATGTTTACTCTTGTTTCCACAATTTATTAACTATTATTATTCTTAAAATTCAAGGGTTTCTCATTGTACTTGGAATAAAACTCGAGTCTTAAAATAGCAAACGAGGCTCTGAATGATCTAGCTTCTCCAGCCACACTATGCCCTTGCTTTTTAACTGGAAACAATGAATTTCTTGTGGTTCCTCCTATGCTGTGCTCCTTTCTGCTTCTGAGCCTTTGTTTCTTTCATGCTGTTAACCTCCCTGCCCTGCTCATACTACCTATGTCACTCATTACCTTAGTCATTCTGCTAATCCTCAGGTCCAAGTTTAAATGTTACTTCTCCTAGAAGCTTTCTCTTACTGGCCTTAAAATTGTGGTCATGTGTCTAAATACTGTGCTAAAACAACATCTGTCTCCTAGGTTATACTCTATAACAATAACATGTCTACACTGTACCTCAGTGCCTACTACATAGTAAACACCTACTACATAAAGACTTAGTTTATAAAAAAGTACATGTAAATATGTAACTCTATAAACCTTCCATTATTAAATACTTCTATGTTCACATTTAGGATTCTTTTTCCAATGAGTATATAACAAATGAATGACTGAAAGCGGTCACTCTAATATTAGAGTTTACCTAGCTCCTCTTCTGCTGTCTCTGGGAAATTGATCTTCGGCTTGGCCAGCTCACCACTGTCTTCTTCTATGGAAAGATAAGCAATGATGATTGATTATGGCAATGATGGCTGATGATGTCAATATCTCAAGTAATTTTTAGTCCTTAATAAGTAAGAAGAGTAAGATAAGATTACAACAAGCAATGAGTTACAAAATACAATAGGAAAAATTCCTTTTTATATAACTGTGGTTCTATAATAGTATGTCTTTTCTCAAAAATTACTTTTAGGTTCTCACTGTAGCTACTCTGGGATCAGTAATCAAGATATCATGTCTACCTTTTTGGCAAGGATCAGTAATACTATTCAGAGATTAGATACATTTACCTGTAAATTTTTTATATTGTCCACAAGTAAATTTTGAATTAGTGCCATTCCACTCACCAAATGAGCTAGTGTAAAAAATTTAGGAACAAGGGCCAGCACTGTGGCATAGCAGGCTAAGCTTCTGCCTGCAGAGCCAGCATCCCAGATGGGCACTACTTTGTGTGCCAGCTACTCCTCTTCTAAACCAGCTCTCTGCTATGGCCTGAGGAATCAGTAGAAGACAGCCTAACTGCTTGGGACTCTGTACCCACATTGGAGACCCAAGAAGCTCCTGGCTCTTGGCTTCGGATCAGCCCAGGTCCAGCCATTACGGGCATTTGGAGAGTGAACCAGCGGATGGAAGACCTTTCTCTTTGTCGCTCTCTCTCTGTCTGTAACTCTCTCAAATAAATAAAATCTTTTAAAATAATTTTGGAACAGAATAGACTATACAACAAAAAATTTAAACAAACAAAAATACACAGTGGCCAGTTTATAATGATGGACTATTCTTAAACCATTTGATTTAAAATCTATAGAAAACAAAAACATTGAAATAGAATTACTGGTGAAAACTAAAGACAAAATCATTCATAACTCTGAATAAAAATTCTTACCAGGAAGCACACATTTCCAAAGGCCGTATGTCTTTCCTACCACAGTTTGCCATAGTCTCAGTGTTCCATCTTCAGAGCCACTGGCATACAGTTCTCCATCAGGACTAAATCTCACACAGTGAATAGGACCAAAGTGTCCTTTGTAGGATTCTGAAAAAGAATAGAAAGGTAATGAAACACTATTATTTGAGAGATGTAAATTCTTAAGGCCAAATGTAAAGAATGTGCCAAATTAAAAATAATTTCCATCACTAAGAAGCACAAGATGCCTACTATTTCTCCCTAAGAATACCCTTTCCCAAATCTAGCACACATTATAGTTTCAGATTATCTCTCTAAAAAAAGAAAATAGGGCTTCATATTCCTTTAAGGATGAAGAGGGAATAAATAAAAATCCCACAAACTGTATAAAAAGTAGACTTAAAGCAACAGTTCACTCTCAACTTCCAAATCCTAAATTCACCACCTACTGACCAGGGAATTAAGTTTATTATGAAAACAGAGAACCACCAGATGGAGCTCTTTTGCACACTTTCCCTCTTAATTTCCTACCAAGCTCTCTACATTCCAATAATCATTTTGTCACACATAATGTTGAGATACAGGATCACAACGATCCTTAAATTTTAATTTGTAGAACCCAAAAAGAAATGTCTTGTTAGTCATACCCTGACTTATGAAGCTTTCTCATTTACTTTCTAATGTCTCACCACCTTAGTCATTACAAAAGCTCTACTAGACCAATGTTCCTGCTCCATGCCCCATCTGTACAACCAGAGAAGAGAAAAGCTATGATAACAGAAAGAACATGAGGATACAGAAAGAGAATGACCTGATATTTACTACCTAAGTCCCCAGATCTCAGGCAAATAATTCATTTCTTTCATCTTGGAAAAGGAATAAAACATGTGATGACAACATTCTAAAACTGATAAGAACAATCAAAAAGAATCTCTTTTAAAGTTCACTGATACTGAACCAATAAAGGATGAACCACAAGCAATTAAAAAAGATACTATATGGGGGCTGGTGCTGTGGCGTAGCAGGTAAAGCCATCGCCTGTAGTGCCGGCATCCCCTGTGGGCGCCAGTTTGAGTCCCAGCTGCTCCTCTTCCGATCCAGCTCTCTGCTATGGCCTGGGAAAGTAGTGAAAGATGGCCCAAGTCCTTGGGCCCCTGCATCCACGTGGGAGAACTAATAGAAGCTCCTGGCTCCTGGCTTTGAACATGCACAGCTCTGGCTGTTGCAGCCATCTGGGGAGTGAACCAGTGGATGGAAGACCCCCACCTCTCTCTCTGCCTCTGCCTCTCTGTAACCCTGCCTTTCAAATAAATCAATTAGAAAAAAAAGAGATACTACATGGTCCATTCACCAGGGTTCCTCATACAACTCAAACCCATCAGCTTTCCCAAAGAAACAAAACATAAAATTTTTTTATTCCTTGTATATATATTACAGCTTTGCTTAGTTCTTTAGATAGTAAAACAGGACAGCTAGAAACATAGTATCAAAAAGTAATAGCTTCCATATAAAAAAATGATGAAAATTACATGTACTTTGGTTTTTTTTTGTTTTTTTTTTTTTGTTTTGTTTTGTTTTGTTTTGTTTTGACAGGCAGAGTGGATAGTGAGAGACAGAGAGAAAGGTCTTCCTTTTTGCCGTTGGTTCACCCTCCAATGGCCGCCACAGCCGGCGCACTGCGACCGGCACATCGCGCTGATCCGAAGTCAGGAGCCAGGTGCTTCCCTTGGTCTCCCATGCGGGTGCAGGGCCCAAGCACTTGGGCCATCCTCCACTGCACTCCCTGGCCACAGCAGAGAGCTGGCCTGGAAGAGGGGCAACGGGGACAGAATCCGGCACCCTGACCGGGACTAGAACCCGGTGTGCTGGCACCGCAAGGCAGAGGATTAGCCTATTGAGCCGCGGCGTTGGCCGAAAATTACATGTACTTTTAGAACTACGAGCAAAACAAGTTGGGAAAGTGATTAATATTATGAGAATCATACATAACTTAGATAAATATAAAGTTAGGATTTACACTAACCTCAAATTAGTCCTACATTAAAACTCTCCTTCGTTAAGAACTGTTATCATGAAAATGGTAGCAAAACTCAGCTGCCAAAAAAAGAATAAAACTCTCCAAGTTAGATTCTTAAAGGCATCCCTGTAAGATGCTATAGTGCCCTTCTCCACTATTCTCTGTACAGAATCTTAGGGATTCTGAACTTAGCAAAAAGGAATGGTGGCCAGCTCACTGGGCCACGCACACCATACTTTGGAAAAAATAAATTTCCCTGTGTCTATTTAATACATAAGTTTGACATAAGATTCTCCCCTCCCCATAAAGCCTGAAAATCACTACACAATATTACAGAACATGATAAGGATGAATTTCAGCTAAAAGAAAAAGACAACATTAAATTCAGCATATTTTGCTTATAGATCTATAAAAGTTCCTATCTAAAATGGATAAATACTTCTCACTTCTAAACATCAAGGTTTAGTTGGATGAAAAATATGCTTCCAACATGGTATATACATAAATGAAACATTAATTTTTGGAACTCAGCATTTGATAAAAGGAAAAAGGGAGGATAACTTACCTAACTCTTCCCCACTATTATAATCATACTTATAAAGTTTAAAATCTTCACCACCTGCAACAAGAAATTCTTTCTCAGGATGAAGAGATGCAGAATTGATGGTTGCAGGAGCTTCAAAGGATTTAATTGGGTCCAAACTGGAAAAAAATTTAAATAATATTTACAAATTCTGAGTAAATAATGTAAATGATTTTAGTTAAACTGTTCCTAAATTCTGACACAAGGACCAATTAAATATTCAAACACAAACAATGATGTTTAAAAAAAATACTAAATAAGGGTTGGCATTGTGGCAAATGGTTCAGGCTATTGCTTGCAACAGCTTAACAGGTTGAGTTCCAGCTGCTCTGCTTCAGCTTCCTGCAAACACACCCAAGAAGGCATCAGAAGATCTTCCAAGTACTCAGGCTCCTACGGGCAGTGACCCGGATCGAGTTCCTGGCTCTTGACTTCAGCCTGGCCCAGAACTGGTTGCTATAGCCATTTGGGGAATGAGCCAGTCGCTGGAAAATCTCTTTGTCATTTTATACTTTACCACTCCTCCTCTGCCTTTCAAAAACAAAACAAGAAAAAACAAACCAAAAAACAAGACTTGATAATGTTATTAGCAAAAAAGGTGCCTAAGGATCCTGTGCCCACCTGGAATTCATCTCAGGAATATAAAGACATTTCAAGAGGGATACCCACATCTTGAGCAGCAGATACCATCCTGGAAATGAGTTTCTCTGCTAATTAAAACTGCATGGAAAATATTGGGATTTTTGCTTTAAAAAATTATATTCTGTATTGTTTTGATTTTTCTTCAACAGGCACACATTGCTTTTGTAAACAGATAAAGGTTTTACAGTAGGTAATGAATTACTCTAACATAAAGGATTATAGGTATGTTATTCTCAATTGTGAGGGTTTAAGCTTTTGCAACAAGAAAATGCTATAAATATGAACCTGTGAAAAACAGCTGTTGTTATTATCATGTAGTAAAAGAATGACTAAAATTTGAGGCCACAGTTACATATGAAAAAAATCAATGCATAGTAACAGCTTTAGCTGAAGAATCAATTAGTTTGGAGACTGGCTCTTTTTCAGTTCAACCCTGAAAATGATGAAAGGCCTCAAATACACAACATACCATTCAGGCCCTTAAAGTCACTCCTCTGTTCCCATCACCTCATAATATAAAGCATGAAAATTCAAGTAGCCATGACTTACTCAGGGTCACTTGTTGGCTCAACTGTTCAATAGGGGGTGGTTGTTGTGGAGCAGTAGGTTAAGCCACAGATTAGGTTACCTTCCCTTATTTCATTTCTGAGTGCCATTTCCAGTCCTGGAATCCCCATTTCCAATCCAGCTTCCTGCCACTGCATCCTAGGAGGCAGCAGGTGATAGCTTAAGTGCCTGGGCCCCTGCTACCCTTGCTGGAGACCCAGATGGAATACTGGACTCCCGGTTTCAGCCTAGCCCAAGTTTGGTTATTGTGGGTATTTGGGGAGTGAATCAGCAGATAGAAGGAAGATAGATCTCCCTTTCCTCCCCTACCAACCCCATTGTCACTTTCTCACTCTTGCTGTGCCTTAAAGTATATGAAAATAATTTTTTTAAAAAAAGAAAGTTATTCCATAGGTCAGCAAATCTCTGCCACTAAAATGGAACTTGGAGCAACATTCTCCAGTAGGACTGCATGTTGTACCGCTCCAAAAGAGAACAATATGGTTGTACAGTTTGATGTGGCTGGGATACAGCATTCTATTATCATCAATTCATGTGTGTGTGTACCTCCTTTACATTCTGAATTGCTTTACTCCAATTTTAATCCTTTCTTTTTCTCTTCCATTCAGTGAACCTTAGCACTGCAAATGGCACTGTAGACAAAATGTCAGAATTGCTGGTCTCATGTTGTATAATCCTTGTGGAAATCAACAAGTTATAAGTGACACATATAACTAAGAACTTTAGACTCATTCCTACCCTTGGAACTGATAATAGTACTTATAAGATTCTAAGGAAACACTGAGAAATAAGTACCTCAGTTACTGCAGGCTTAAAACAGTGCACTGGTAATTTATTGTAATTCACAATGCAATGTATCTAGCAAATCTGTTTTCCAAGATATATCTTAGAATATTTTTAAACAACAAGGCCTAATTACATTACGGCCTTCATTTAAAAACACACAAGCATAAATAAAACAAAAAAAATGGCAGAAAATACAGCCATTAGTAGTTTGGAATCTTCTTATAAGATTTTGAGTCAATTATTCTTAATTATATCATATTTTCCAAAATTTTTACAAGAGCACTTATTGTATTTCTAGTCACAAAACTTAAGTCTTTTTTTTTTTTAAAGATTTATTTTATTTATTTGAAAGACAGAGTTAGAGAGAGGGAGGGAGGGAGGGAGAGAAATCTTCCATCCTCTAGTTTACTCCCCAAATGTCCACAACAGCTGGGGTTGAGCCTCCAAATTTCCCACACAGGGGCCCGAGGACTTGGGCCATCTTCTGCTGGTTTTCCAGGCACATCAGCAGGCAGCTGGACTGAATTGGAGCAACTGGGAATAGAATTGGTGTCCATATGGGATGTCGGTGTTCCAGGTAGTGGCTTAACCTATGGCTTAACCTGTTATGCCACAATGCTGGCCCCGTTTTTTTTAAAAAGAGGTCTGTATATACTTGGGGATATGAAAAAAAAAAAAAAAACTATTTTTCTCTATTCAAGATAACCACAGTTTTACACAATAAACATTAATTATAAACATCAATCCAATGGTTCTTTTAAGAAAAACAATTTCAACATTTAATTGTACCAATAATTGACTTAAACACCTGGAATTTGATTAACTCCTCTGATTAAAGTATACCAAATTCTCATAAAAACACATTATGGCCCCCATCACCCAAAACAGAAAATGGAGGAATTTCCTAGACTTACCTTACTGCACTATGAAAAGCAATAGATCGTCCGTAAGTTATAACCAAGATCTCTCCTTCAGGAATATACTCCATACTACTAACAGACATATTAAAATTTAGAGATTTCACTTCCGTCATAGTAGCATGATCCCAAAGGCTGCGAAAAGAAAAGATCAAAATGTGGCAATATTTACTCATTTAATTTACTCATGTTAAGAAAACTTACAATGGACTATGACTATGCACAAAATTGTCATGGGGTTAAAATGAGTGTTGGTGAACTCTTTTAAGTTACACTTGTGACTCTTGTGATTCGGAAACTACTTCAAAATACAAGTCACTGATTAAAACCACAATACAGCCGGTGCCGCGGCTCAATAGGCTAATCCTCCGCCTAGCGGCGCTGGCACACCAGGTTCTAGTCCCGGTCAGGGAGCCGGATTCTGTCCCGGTTGCCCCTCTTCCAGGCCAGCTCTCTGCTGTGGCCAGGGAGTGCAGTGGAGGATGGCCCAAGTGCTTGGGCCCTGCACCCCATGGGAGACCAGCTACAGTCATTTCAAGTCCTAAATAACAGACACAGACAATTTTGGGTTCCTACACAATGGGAAATTGGAAGCTTGTTGGGGAAATCGACCGTACTAGCAAACAACTTAGCAAAACTATGTCACTAAAACACGTAAATCCTCATATCATCTATTTCAGCACTGCTGTAAACAGTGGTTCTTATACTGTTGTAGTGACTCATGGCAACTCTCTTTCCAAAAAACATGTGTATGTCAGTACCCAATATTTTGCATAAAATTTCAGTAGCTCCATGGACCACCCCCCGCACCCTTTAGCTAACTAGTCCCACAGACGTAGATTAAGAACTCCTGCTAGTAAAGGTGTCAATAGTCTTAATTAAGGGTCTTCTGAATTCTGCTCTGGCTATGCAATAGTAAATGGATAGCTCCACATAAATGTGACCTATGCGCATTTTAAAGTTCAGACCATTTTTCCTACATAATAGTAAAAATAATACTTAAAAGTAAAAACTTTTTTCAAACTTCAAATTATCAAAGAAAAATTACCTACCGAACAGTTTTATCATCAGCTGAAAGAATCTGTTTATCCTCACTGCACCATAAAGCCTTTTTAATACCAGATGTGTGACCACTGATTTCCTTAGGTTCTTAAGAAGAAAAAATTTTAAATATTGTTAATATTGAATTTTTTAAACCAAGCAAATTAGATAGGTAATAAGAAAAAGAAACACATTTTATGTTAGACTGCACCTTTTCTAAGTGCAGCCCAAAAAAGAATAATTTAGTTTTTCTATACTGGTTCCTTACAGAACAAAAATTTATCTGTACAACAAAGAATCCAAGAACAATGATGCCTGCCTTATTGCATTTGAGTAAATCAATAATAACTCTTTCTTGGCTAATTTTCTGTACAACTAGTAATGTTAAAAAATAGCACACTGTACCACAATGAAGTAATAACTAGTATGAATAACTAATGTGGCATAGTTTAAGAAGAACATGGGGCCGGCGCTGCGGCTCAATAGGCTAATCCTCCGCCTATGGCGCCAGCACCCTGGGTTCTAGTCCCGGTCAGGGCGCCGGATTCTGCCCTGTTTGCTCCTCTTCCAGTCCAGCTCTCTGCTGTGGCCCAGGAGGGCAGTGGAGGATGGCCCAAGTGCTTGGGCCCTGTACCCACATTAGGAGACCAGGAAGAAGCAGCTGGCTCCTGGCTTCGATCAGTGCAGCACACCGGCCGCAGCAGCCATTTGAAGAACATGGGCCCAGGAATAAGAAAACCAGAGCTAATCCTAGTGCTGCCATTAACCCTGTCACCTGCATCCAGACATTGTTGGTAGAAATTAAGAAGAAAAAAGACACTGGGGATAGGAGAAATGGGAAATAAAAACCAGCACAGCAATTTCCAGAAACGCTTCTACATTGAGAGGAAAGCAGTAAAAAAATAAAAAATAAATAATAAAAAAAAAAGGGAACCCATCTCTGTAGGAGAATTTCCCTTCAAAACATTTCAAAAAATCATCATCATCTCTAGGCAAAGGCAGCTACTGGAAGCAATGCCATTCAATAGTACTTCGACTTTGGGCACGTTACCTGTTTGAAACTGCATTTCTTCATCTGTAAACTGGGCTACAAAGTTAGGGCACCTCAGAGGCACTTTACATGGGTGTCACACAGCAAAACTTCAGTTAATTGCTACCATTTCTAGGTGGAAGAGCAACTCAAACAGAAGCTCGGGAAAGGTAAACGAGGATGAAAAACACCCACCCAAACCCTGAACTACCTTGCTGCAGCACATAGTTTCACTGATTAAAAGAGGCTGGAGAACTCTGCTTTGTTTTGGCATAGAGGTAGTAAAAAGAAAGCAGAGCAACACTCCTGGGTGCCAATGAATACAGAAATCTACAAATGCCTCACCCTAGAAATGCTTTTAGAAAGCAGTTCCCTCAGGCAAATAACTGCTTACTTTTCAATGTAGCTTTGAGGTACTTAGGAAATCTAATAGATAGTAATTACTACATAATAAGTGAAACAAAATTTGGTTTATCATGTTTCGGTAGCTTTTAAACTATACTTGTATTTACAGCTAGGAAATCATTACAATACTACAAAAATGGAGGTAACTATCTCAACTGTGTAAGAAGAAATGCCTACAAATTCTGTACGACGACAGTTCATAGAGGAAATGACAGCTCCTGCCACCAAAATGTTAAAAATGTATATGCCTAGGTATATATCAAAGCCTTCTTAATGAAATTTAAAACCAAATGGCAAATTAGGATGCAATAAAGAACCTTCGAAAGCCAGTAAGTTCTCTTTATCTCCATCTGTCTCTGTAATTCTGCCTTTCAAATTAAATAAACAAATCTTAAACTAATACAAATTTTAATAAAAGGCCTGACATTGTGGTACAGGCATTAAGCCATGGCCTCAACACCAGCATATCATACAGGAACTGGGCTGCTCCCCTTATGAATCAGCTCCCTGCTACTGTGTCTGGAAAAGCAAAAGATGGGTCAAGTATTTGGGTCCCTGCATGTGGGACACTGAGACGGAGCTATGGACTCCTGGCTTCAGTGATCATTTGGGGAGTGAACCAGTAGATGGAAATCTCTGTCTCTTTCTCCCTCTGTCACTCTACATTTCAAACTAATAATTAAAAAAAAAAAAGAAAAAGATTATCTGCATAGGAAATCTGGAATGATATGAAACCAAAGCTAAAGGTATTAAAAGTGTTGAATACTAGATGATGGATTATGTTTTAATTTTCTTTCTTATGACTAGCTTCCAAATTTTAGTACTCTTTTAATCAAAGTTATTTACATTAAAATGAAATAAAACTATAAACTCATACATTAATTATGCTTACCTGCTTCAGGTTTGTTCAAATCATATATGCGTAACAGTTTATCCTGTCCACCAGTTAACAAATAATTACTATCCTGAAAAGACAAATAAAATGTTAACAGATGATCCATTTAAGAATGTTTCTCTCAAACTTCCTCAATACCAAATAAAATCTTATAGCTCACAGACATCACAAAGACATGCCACACACAAGCAATTACTTCTGAGAGAACACTATAGAACAGTTGCCCTTCTCTTAACTGTCAAACCCCTTAGGCTTCACAGTACAAATGTGTTACATTATCACCTTCCACCTGAATCTGCCCTAACCCCGTCCCCTCCCTCCTAAGTAGCACTTTTATGATTTCAAATGAACTTTTCCTTGAAAAAGTAGTTGGAAATGGGTATTTGGGCTCTTTAAGCATTTGCTACCTATTGTTTGAAGGGTGATACCAGAGTTTCAGGGGATCTTTAAAGCAAAACAGTATTAACAAAAACAAAAATAAGTCTGTATAGCTTCAAATAGGAACCAATATACACAAATCATCCCACCAAAATCAATCAATAAAATATAAAATCATTATCCTACTATATAGTAATAGCAATTTGGCTATATGAAATTCAAGGGCCAGTGTTGTAATCTAGTAGATTAATCTGTGGCCTGCGATGCTGGCATCCCATATGGGAGTGTCGGTTAGAGCCCTGGCTGCTCCACTTCCAATTCAGCTCCCTGCTAATCCACCTGGGAAAGCAGCAGATAATAGCCCATGTGCTTAGGCTCCAGACATCCACATGAGAGACACGAGTGGAATTTCAGACTCCTAGTTTTGGCCTGGTCCAACCAGCCATTGTGGCCATTTGCTAAGTCAACCAGTGAATAGAGAAGATTTGTCACTCTGCCTTTCAAATACATAAATAAATCTCTTAAAAGCAAATAAAATAAATTTCATTTTGGATACCTGTGTGAAATCCACAGTCTTGACAATGTGTTTATGAGCCAGGGTCATCAATTCATCTCCTGAGACAGCATCCCATACTTTTCTGAAAGTAAAAAGAAATAAAATTAAATGGATAAACACTATTCAATATATTAATAACTAAAAGCACAAACATAATTTTGACAACTAGTAAATTACATAAATGAAATTTCATAAGTTCATTATAAATCTCCTTTGCCTCTAATATCCCTCATTATTAAACTTCATTTGATAAAATATTTAAATGTGTAAAAGAAACTTCTCCACAGAAGTCTTATAACCAACACTTTTTTTGACAGTGAAAAGATTTAAAGAATTTACATAAATAAGATTCACGAACCAACCCACTTTTTTTTTTTAGTTTTTTTAAACAGGCAGAGTGGACAGTGAGAGAGAGAGACAGAGAGAAAGGTCTTCCTTTTGCCATTGGTTCACCCTCCAATGGCCGCCGCGCTGCAGCCGGCACACTGTGCTGATCGGATGGCAGGAGCCAGGTGCTTATCCTGGTCTCCCATGAGGTGCAGGGCCCAAGTACTTGGGCCATCCTCCACTGCACTCCCTGGCCACAGCAGAGAGCTGGCCTGGAAGAGGGGCAACTGGGACAGAATCCGGCTCCCCGACTGCGACTAAAACCTGGTGTGCCGGCGCCACAAGGCAGAGGATTAGCCTAGTGAGTCACGGCGCCAGCCACTCTTACTTTTGCCTACAGCCATACACTATCCCTTTCAGTGAGATTGCAAAATATTTTAGGTAATTTTTAATTTTATAATGTAACTTTTTTCTCTATTTCTTACTCACATGCACATGAAACAAAAAGAAGTTCATAAAAACTTTACAAGAGAATGAAAGTGCTTGATACAAGTTACAAAAAAATCTAAATGGGGCCAGCGCTGTGGCGCAGTGGGTTAACGCCCTGGCCCAAACTGCTGGCATCCCATATGGACCGGGCTGCTCCACTTCCAATCCAGCTCTCTGCTATGGCCTGGGAAAGCAGTAGAAGATGCCCCAAATCCTTAGGCCCCTGCACCCACATGAGAGACCCAGAAGAAGTTCCTGGCTCCTGGCTTCAGATTGGCACAGCTCTGGCCGTTGTGGCCAGTTGGGGAGTGAACCATCGGATGGAAGACCTCTCTCTCTCTCTCTCTCTCTCTCTCTCTGCCTCTCCTCTGTGTAACTCTGATTTCAAATAAATAAATAAATCTTAAAAAAATCTAAATCAAGATAGTGGAGAAAATATTTTCTTCATCTCGACCAAAAGTGACCTTTAAATTTTCAAATACCTGGGCAATTAACTTCCCTTAAAGTATCACTTTTGATTAGATCTTGCTAAATTGAGGTTTTTAATCTCTGAATTATACACTTTCCCTGATCTACCCCACCTCAATTTATATGTTGGTGTTTGCAATCATACATACATATATGTGTTCACATACGTTATGGGAATTACAATTGAATGATACTACTTTATAAAAGTACTTCAAGACATTTCCTAATAAAGATGTTTAAAGAAGAGGTTAGTGAAAAATTAAGAAAACTTTGAATGGAGGGAAAAGAACTGTTAAAGAGTAAAGAAATTGTGCTTCGGGGCCACCACTGTGGCATGGTAGGTTAAGCCTCCACCAGCAGTGCCTGCATCCCATATGCGTGCTGGTTCAAGTCCTGGCTGCTCCTCTTCCAATCCAGCTCTCTGCTAATGGCCTCGGAAAGCAGTGGGAAGATGGCCCAAGTGGGAAACTGGCTTCGGATCGGCCCAGTTCCAGCCATTACGGCCATTTGGGGAGTGAACCAGCAGATGGAAGACCTCACTCTCTCCCTCTCAAATAAATAAATCCTAAAAAAAAAGATCCACAGAAATTTCTTTATAAGTGACATTTATGTTCACAAATATAGTGGGATTGAGAATGATATTGTGGCACAGAGAGTTAAATCACCTCCTGTAACACTGGCATCCCACGGGGGAACTAGTTCATATCCCAGCTGCTCCACTTCCAATCCAGCTCCCTACTAATGCATCTGGGAAAGCAGTGGAATATGGCCCATGTGCTTGGGCCTCTGCCACTCACATGGCAGACCCAGAAGAAGCTCCTGGCTCCTGGTTTTGGTCTGGCCCAGCCCTGGCAGTTGCAGCCATTTGGAGACTGAACCTGCAGATGAAAGATCTTGCTCTCCTGTCTCTTACTCTAACTCTGCTCTTCAAATAAATAAGTACATCTCAAATCTTAGTGGGCAGTGAAACAGTAAAGGATAAAAACCAGCAGAGAAAATTAATGGTTATGTTTTCTAGTGTTCACTAAAACATAAGACAGATACATCAGCAGGAATAAATACTGACAACACACTAGTGATCTTTACACATACTCTGGCCATGAACTGCTGAGTATGGTCTGAGAAAACAGTATTCATTCTAAGTAATACTGCTACTAAATTCCCAAGGATTCATTTACCTTTGCACATGAAATCTGCTTTACTCTCTTCCCACTCCAATTCCAACTTTCTGGCCCTAAACTGTTTTTCCAGCCCTATTTTGTATATTATTTCTCTGAATCATATCATGCCAGACTATATTCTTCCAACAAGCCACATATTTTCTTCCAAGCTCCCACATCCTGGATCACACTGTTCTCTTAAGTCTGTATTTAATATTCTCACTATCAAAGATTGGCTTATTTCAAATGCTATCTCTTCACTAAGCTTTTTAGCCTCACTTACAATGCTGAACCATTACCCTTCTGTTCTTCCTCAAAACTCAGTTTACATTAATTACTGTATTTTTTATTACAGGAAACTGGTTCCATGGCTGTGACAGGCGTTCACAAGAATTAGGATGACAGAAACATCAAACATAAAGGACGTGTCAAATGTACCAGAAATTTCTATCCCATTTATTCACATGGGTCCCAAGAGAACATTGGGTAAAGTCCTCTGAAATACTTATTTCAATTATATTAAACAATCTCCCCAAAAACCCTTATTAACTGTCAAGGAGAAAAAATTGGCATTACAAAAAAATATGAACCAGAGAACTAATGTATTCATGGTCTTTTTCTATTATCTAGAAACACTACAAAAACAGAAGCACAGTATTTTTTGACACAGCACATTCTGATGATCACCTGTACTAACTCTGGCATATTTTCATTACTCATCGTAAGAGTCCTACAGAGTTCAGAGTCTTAGAAAGAATCTGAAATAATACAAATGTTTTCCAATGTATTAGCCAAACTCTAGGCAGAAAACTGATATATACTAGCTGGCTGCAGGGCTCAACTGAGGACAGTGAGGCACCATTAACAGTATCTTTTCATCAGCCTATCCTGCAGCTTTGACTTTTCACACAACTCATCTGTTTCTCACATAGAGTCAGGGTTAGTCAATGCTGCCTGTTCCATACTTTTCACATCCTGAGACTAGGCTCCACCATTAGTCTCAAAAGAGGGGCTTGCTTAATTTAAGCTTTGACAAAACAATTAAACTATCTTAGGAGGAAGAAAGACAGCACAAGTACCTTAAAATGTTGACCAAGTCATAAAGAAGGACACAATGCTATCTTCAAATTATCCAGAACCTTATTCAGGGCAGTTAGATTTTTCTATCGGCTTTTATAAGAAAAAACCCTACACTTTAATTACAGCCATCTTTGGTTGCTATCAAAAAACAAAACAAAACAAAAAACTTGAGGCCAGGTAATCTACGAAAAGATGAGGTTTATTTTGGTTCATTGTTTTGCAAGTCGAAGAGTGTGGCACCAGCACCTGCTTGGCTTCTGGTGAGGGTTTTGTGTTGTGTCACATCATGGTAAAGCAGCAGAAAGAAGTGATGCATGTGTAAGAAACACATGTGCAAGACACAGCAAGGAGAGGAGTCAAACTTGCTCTGTAGCAGCCCACTCTCCTGAGAACTAATCCACTCCCACAAAAAACAATTCATTCTTGAGAGAGTGGTGCTCCTATGACCTTATTACCTCTTGAAGGTCGCCAACATTTCATTGGGGTTCAAATCCCAACATGAGATCTGGCCTAACTCCAGATCTACTTAAGTATAGGGTAGAGCACTAAATCTTCTATACTTTAGTAAGTATGACAGCATCTCATATGGGCACTGGTTCCAGCTCCTCCACTTCAAATCCAGCTCCCTGCTAATGGCCTGGGTAAGCAGAAGATGAACCAAATGCTTGGGCCCCTGCACCCACATCAAAGAGACAGATGAAGCTCCTGGCTCCTGGTTTTGGCCGGGCTCGGCCCCGGCCGTTGCAGCCATCTGAAGAGTGAACCAGTAGATGGAAGATCTCTCTCTTTCTCTCTTTCAAAATAAATAAATAACTCTTTAAAAAAAATTTTAACAGACCCACAGACCTGTTCCACTGAATATAGCTTCTCTAACAAAATTCACCTCTAGATGACCATGGTGTAAGTTTTTAAGTAACATAATAATGGGGGGAAATAATTTTCCTAAAAATGATTTATATTAACTATGACTCATCATGTAAATTAGGGTGAGACACTCTTGAGCTCATAGCAAGCTCCATGAACACACACTACCACATCTCAGAGATAAGAAAAATAAAGGTAAGTTTCAACTACCTCATACTATTATTAAACACATACTACTACATGACAGGGATACAAGGATGACAGATATCTCTGTTCCAACAACCTTGCTGACTGCCATCTCATTTTACAGGTTAAAAACTGGGTGAGGTTTAGGAAACATTTCCTCATCAAACTAGAAAAACACAGCACAATTAGCACATAAACTTGGGCCCAACTCATGTCTATAGTTACCACATTCTTGCACTCAAGGATGGCACATTAAGCCTTAATCAAGAAAACAAAAATCTTGCTTCTTGGCATTTAAATTTACTCAAGGTTTCAAATGGTTTCATGACTTTGGTATAGTATGGGAGGTAACCTTACCAGTGACAGCTATCATTGTTACCTTACATATGTAATCTATAGCTTTTATTCGATTTCAGTCAATTAAGTATTTGAAACATACTAACTTATTTAACAGTTACAACCAATGTAATGACATATCATTATGATTTTAATGTTTACAAATGAGGAAACCGAAAGAAAAAGAGATTAAATAAAGTGCCCTAAAGTTAAAAACTTTAAACAATTGAGCCAGGTAGTAGGCATCTGGTATTAGCAGTTAAGGCATCTGCATCCCACATTAGAGTGTCTGGTCCCAGCTCTGACTCTGCTTCTGATCCAGCTTCCTATTAATGCACACTCTGGAAAGATGGTGATGCCTCAGGCGCTTGGGTCCCTGCCACACTTTGGAGACCCAGATTGAGTTCTGGACTCCTGGCTTCAGTTTGTCCCAGCCTCAGCTATTGTGGACATTTGGGGAGTGAACCAGTGATGGGAAATCTGCCTCTCAAATAAAACAAATTTTTTAAAAATGATGGAATTAGTATTTAATCATAGGCCATGGGTCTTCAGAATTTATGCTCTGAATACTACTTGTAGATACAGACACTATGACCCAAAAATGCTAAGTACAATACCAGCAGCCTGCTCTCAAGCATGAAATTTTGTTTACATGCTCTACGAGTGACCCAAATAAAGATAACTGTTCCTCTGGCATCAAGATAAAGATCTGGACTACTTTCAAGACTCTGTTAAGCATTTAGAGCAATACATTTTTTCCACACCGTTCTGTGTTGCTATTTCAAAGTAACTACCCTAGCAACAGTAATTTCTTCCTAGCGTCCTTTTCCTCCTTATTCTTTTCCCTAAGGCTTGCAATACAATTTGCTCAATGTAAGAGATGTCCCAGATTTTGCAAAAAGAATCCTTCCTAATAACTTTTGCACTGTTCTCTTAAGGATCAGAATAAGACTATCAAGCAAGAGGTGACAAAGCAATCTGCTAACATAATTAACATTGCTAGGGCCAGATAACAACAGAATTGAGGTTAATTTTAAAAACATACTTGAAGCAGGCATTCAACCTGGCAGTTAAGACACTGCTTGGGACACCCACAATCCCATATCAAAGTGCCTGGGTTCTAGCTCCAGCTCTAGCTCCCAATTATAACTTCTTGCTAATACACTCAGGTAGGTGTGTCCATAGCTTGTGTTGTTTAATGCTAATATAATATATGCAGTGTCTACATTTATAGTAATTATAAATTAATTTTAAAATATCATTTTATTAACTACTGATCTATTTCTACCAGACTGGAATCTAATTACCACAGTGAAATTTCTGAAATCTGCTCACCAAATTACCTGCAACCTAGAGTTGTGTATGTTAATCCAATTTTCTACATTCATTCTAAAATCATCAAAAGCCTTTCCCAATGACAATATGTCTAATGAATTAAGTGAACAAAGTCTGGAGTAACTGAAGATAAACCCATGAAAATCACACACAAGTGTCTGACAGGCAAAATCAAGATCTGTTAATTCATTCATTTATCCTTCTACTTTACAAAGTTTTCTCAGCTTATTTATCTGACAAATATTAAGGTAATGAATAAATCAGTGATACCAAAAATAAACCACACAGCCTCTGAGAAAAACATAAGACATAGAAACTCCAAGGTAAGTTTACCACATCTGAAATCACTTTTACTACTACTTTCACCTCCCCAAATTGTCAAAGAGTATTTTGCCATATTATACTTAGTATGCATGCTGACCAGTAACTTTTGACCTGAAAACTACTTACACAGAAGAACTTACATCAAACCAAGCAGCTTTTCAGTGTTCTGCACCATTACAACAGGGTAGAACACACTAGAGCCTTACAATGGTTACACCTAATGACATAATAACAATCTAATTCATTACAGGCACATACACACACCGAAAAGTCCCTATAAGCATATATTAGTTTTTCTTAATTGACTTTCATCATCTCAAATTTACTCATGTAATATTACTACCTGTTAAAATTTTTTCCATTGGTTACAATGTATTAATTTCAAAAAGTACAATCAATGTATCTACAACCATGACACATGCCCAGAAATAGAAAAAGGGCTGCTGCAAGTCAGTTCAATAACAAATGCAAAACCAAAAGTTGGCACAGCTAAGGTGTGCTCTGGCATCGGTCTGTGGAACATTGCTAGACTTTAGGGTTAATGGTTTTTGGTGTACAGTGCAGAAAATGCTGCCGAGGAACCAGGATGAAGCCTGGTTCAGCAACTCCTACTTACGCTGAGGGCAGTGATTGTAAGGCTTCAAATTACCAAAATAAACATTAGGAAAGGAAAAGCAACTTATGACAGGGACCCCATCTCCAGATTGCCTAAGTGAGAATTTCTCCAATATCTGAGTATTTTAAAAACTCTTCAATTATTCTAATGTACATCCATTGTCACGAACAACTAAAATGCTAAATGGAAGACATGCAGGTCATTAGGTAGGTAAGTAACATGATGCATTTTGCTTTCAGGAAGATGATGGGCAGCAATAATGAAATACTGAAGAGGAGAGAGACAGGAGTGGGGAGTTAAAATGATCCCGAACCAAGGCAATGAAAGATACATAGAGAAACATTGTATTCAGGGGACAGTCTGCCAGTAGAATCAGAAAAGACCATAACCTGGATATAAGGAAACATCAAGAATGATTTAGATTTCAACCACAAAAAAAAATCAGGAAATAAGGAGCAGCGACACAGCAGGTTTCAAATCTAAAGCCAATTTAACAAAAACTGAGAATGAAATAAAATGCTGGGGCTTTCCACACATGCTATCACTAGGCAGCACACACAGAGCAACATTTGAAAAGGAGATCACCAGTATTCATTATCTGGAATACTTGCCAATAATGAAGATTGCGGGGTCACCATCAAGACTTAAGGAATAAATCACCTAAGCCTCTGTGCACTGAGAACCACTAAAGACAAAGTAGCACACCGGACCTGGAGGTATCTTGAGGACATCAAACATCATGTGTCCTACATGGCTGCCAGTTGACTGGCACAACCTTAGGAATAACTGAGGCTGAAGTTTTCAACTACTTCACAACACAACCACAGGAATCCAAGCTTAGCCAAGTAGCTTTGGCTACTCACGCTGTGAAATCCGCAGCCGCTGTTGCTGCTTTGGTGGCATCCTTATTCAATGTTGCACCCCAAACAGCACCTTTGTGACCCAGAAATGTTCCAATCCAGTCTCCTGTATCTCCTTGGCGTAGCATAGGTTTGCCATCTGGAAAACATTTTAGAAGACACGTGATTTACAAGTTCAGATTATTCCAACACCAAGTGATGAAGCTGAACAGCCAAACAGAACGCTGTTTCTGTTGTCTAACTACTCCCTACTCACTGGGGTCACTATGAAACATCCAGAAATAAATTAACTGAAAGAACTGAACCGGTCGTCCCCCTGGTTAGCATGTGTGATTTGGTGGGGATACCGAATCCAGAGGGGAAGGCTTAATTTTGGCCAAACTACTTAAACTTCAGCTTTCCACTTGAAAAATGGAACTGATACAACAAAGGGATATCCAATGAGATCACGAGGCAGAATGTCTCTGTAAGCTAGGGCTGGCCTCCTTTCTCCTGGCCCTAAATCCTTGGAAGGTATTGACTGCGTTGTTGTCCGAAGGGTGCAGGCAAGTGCAGACCCAAATAAAAATGAGAAGAGGCTGTGGCTGAGGGTAATAGCCTCCTCCGACGCGTTGGAAACGAGGCCTAGGTTCCAGCTGCGGATTGATCCCCTAATTCCACTCCTTTCCCGCATAGACCAGTGTCGGGCCTTCACATCCTTCGGCTCTGGGGGGTGCGGGCCCCACGCCCTCTCGTCCTGTCCTAGCCCCTCAGGGCCACGCATCCGCGGCCTCGCTCACCTTTGCAAGCGCTGATTAAGAAATACCCATAAGGCGTAATGCCACTGAAAGCCAAATCGACCACAGGCCGCGTGTGGCCAGAGCAGGTGAGCGGCGTCTGCCTCATTGCCATGGCGGCGGCGAACCCAGCGACGCGGCTGGCGAGCAGAGGGTCGTCGACGTATTCTCCGGCCTCGGCTGCAGCGCCTCTGGCTCCGCAAGGCCCCTCGCCCTGACACTGAGACTGGGCCGGGAAAGAGCAAAAGGGGGCCAATCCGGCGGCACCGAGGTCAGGAAGGGGTTAGGGAGGGGTCAGGGAGTCCGCGACAGGCGACCGACGGCCGCTAAGGGAGGGAAAGGGAGGGAGGGAGGAGAGCAGGGGAGGGGAAGAACCGGAGAACCGGCCCAGCCACGATCCGCACCGTCCACACCGGTATCGGCAGGAAGTGACGATGCAAATGACGCAGAGCATCCGCCGGATGTGACGACACGTCGGGAAGGCGGGTTCGCCTGGCCGACTGAACGAAGGCGCAAGGGCGGGAGTGCGCAGGCGCGGGCCCGCCTCTGGGTGGGGGTGGGGGGCGGTGGTGCTGGTGTCCAGCTATTTGTGTTCGGGGCTGGGAGGCGCCGTAGGGTGTGCAGTGGTGTCGTCGGCGCGCAGTAGTTACGGGGCGGGAGTCATTTGCTGTCCCGGGGCTGAGATGGCCAGGCCAGAGAATTAATTGTTCCTACCCTCCTCAGGCCCTGGGGACCGCGCGCCCAGAAGGCCAGTGGCGTGTTGAATTCCGCTGCCCGACACTCCCTCAGAAACCCGAGCGGTTCCCAGTGGCGGGCCCAAGTGGCGAAGAAACGTCAAAGGACTTTTTTGATTTTTCCTATTAGAACATACATAGGCACCCCACTCCCCCCCAGGATTGTCTAAAAGTAAGACTTAAAGAAAGTAATATCCCCAGCCATCCCTTCTGCTGTGTAGTTTTCCTTTATTTTTGGTGTTTTAGAAATGAATGCTATGTGGTTTCATATTCTCTTAACTATTTTTGATAAAATATTTTGCATCGATAAAGTTTGAGCCTGTGCTCCCAATGTATGGATCATTTGAGAATTGCATACATGTACATTATACTACATAGGTAAAGATAGAAATATTAGAATACTCCAAAAACTAAATATAAATAGAAACTCTGATATTATCTTCCAGCAGGTAGCCCACTGAAGAGTTCAATGCTGTCATTATGGATTGGCCAGAAGAGTAAGTGATATTTAGTGAACGTTCAGCAAATGATTGTTGACTGAGTTAATAGATTGCTACATTATTGCTGGAGGTAAATAAATGAAAGATACACTCAAAACAACAGGACTAATCAGTTAAATATTAGTAGGGGTTCATTTACTGCTCACTGTAGGTAAGAGTATAACATACTATCTACTTTGGCTATACAGAATGTATTAAACATTCACTTCCTGTTCACTTGTATTATATATTGTGAGAGTTGTGTATCCTAACCATTTTTATGGGCTTCAAGGTCAGTTTAATATTAGAAAACACTAGTGCAATGAATATAATACTGAGGGGAATATGTGGCTTTTGATACAATTGAGCAGGTTTTTTTTTAAAGGTTTATTTTTATTTGTGACGCAGAAATACAAACAGAGGGAGAGGCAGAGACAGAAGTCTTTCATCCGCTGGTTCACTCCCCAGATGGCTACAATGGCCAGAGCTGGGCAGGTCCAAAGCCAGGAGCCAGGAGCTTCTTCCAGGTCTCTCATGTGGGTACATTGGCCCAAGCACTTGGGCCATCTTCTGCTGCTTTCCCAGCCCACAAGCAGAGAGCGAGATGAGAAGAGGAGCAGCCTGGACACAAACTGGCGCCTATAGGATGCCTGTACAACAGGTGAAAGTTTATGCCACAGCATCAGCCCAAGCATTTGTTCTTAATCACTAGAAATAGAAGGGAACTTCTTTAACCTGATAGAGTCTATGAAACACACACCCACACCCCTACAATGATGTGCTAGAAGCCTTCCCTGTTAGACTGGATACAAGACAGAGATGATTCCAACTATCCTTAAATAAAACAGTGGTACTGGACATTCAAATATCCCAAACAGGCAAAAATGTTAGAAAGAAAGTTACAGGTCTGTGATTCTTTGTGGAGTTTAGAAAGAGTATCAGATTTTTTTTTCAAAGTATAATAAAATTATTTCCATACCTTAGTAACACAGAAAATGAAAGTTTAAATTCCATTTAAAGTTTGAAATTTGAAATTTCATAGCCATACAGAATAGCTAAGAGGTACAAAGTTCATGGGGATAAGTCTGACAAATTTTAGTTCTCAGAGGAAAAAATAAACTGGCACATGGAGATGATCCCTTCATCAAACTGACCTGAATTCCTACATTTCAGTGTGCCAGTTTATTCCTGAATGGGAGCAATTATCTTAGCCTGAATTTGCAGAAAGGGCTATAGCTGTAGAAGGCTACTCCAACGTAGGATGTGGGCATCTTTACCATTAGGCCAAATGTCTGCCTCCTTACTTTTAAGTCTTATATCAGGTCTTTGATCTATTTTCAGTTAATTTTTCTAATGGAGTTGAATGAAGGTGGAATTTTACTGTTTTGTATGTGAATATTTACTTTTCAGATATCATTTGATGAAAAGACCATCCTTTCTTCTACTGAGTTGGTTTAGCCTCCTTGTCAAAAATCATTTGATTGTGTATGTGAGGGGTGAATTCTGAGTACTGTATTCTGTTCTTTTCATTAAAAAAATTTTTTTTTGACAGGCAGAGTGGACAGTGAGAGAGAGAGACAGAGAGAAAGGTCTTCCTTTGCCGTTGGTTCACCCTCAAATGGCCGCCATGGCTGGCGCGCTGTGGCCGGCACACCGCACTAATCCGATGGCAGGAGCCAGGTACTTATCCTGGTCTCCCATGGGGTGCAGGGCCCAAGTACTTGGGCCATCCTCCACTGCACTCCCGGGCCACAGCAGAGAGCTGGCCTGGAAGAGGGGCAACCGGGACAGAATCCAGCGCCCCGACCGGGACTAGAACCCCGTGTGCTGGCGCCGCAAGGCTGAGGATTAGCCTAGTGAGCCACGGCGCCGGCCTCATTTAAATAATTTTGCTTGTGCCAGTACCACACTGTTTTGATTATTGTTGCTTCATAGCAAGCTTTAAAATCAGGAGTTGTGCATCCTCTAGCTTTGTTCTTTTTTTCAAATTTTTTCTATTTATTATTATTTGAAAGGCAGAGTTACAGGGAGGCAGAGGCAAGGAGGGAGAGGTCTTCCATCTGTTGGTTCACTTTCCAAATGGCCACAACGGCTGGAGCTAGGCCTATCTGAAGCCAGGAGCCAGGAGCTTCTTCTGGATCTCCCATGCAGGTGCAGGGGCCCAAGGACTTGGGCCATCTTCTGCTACTTTCCCAGGCCATAGCAGAGAACTGGACCAGAGTGGAGCAGCAGGGACTGGAACCAGCGCTCATATGGGATGCCCGCACTGCGGGTAGTGGCTTTGCCCGCTATGCCACAGCTCCAGCCCTGCTCAAATTTTTTAAAATTATCTATAGTCCCTTAAGTTCCAAATGAATTCTTGTTTCTGAAAAAAAAAAAAAATACTCTTTGTGTTTTAACAGGAATCACATTAAGTCTGTATTTCACTTTGAGTAGTACTGACATCTTAACACTATTGTGTCTTCCAGTCCATGAGCATGGGACGTCTGCCTGTTTACCTATGCCTTCTTCAATTTTATTCAGCAATGTGTTTGTTTATTTTTAAAGATTTATTTATTTCTTTGAAAGGCAGAGTTACAGAGAGGCAGAGGCGGGGGCATGGGTTTGGGTGAAACAAATCTTCCATTTGATGGTATACTCCCCAGATGGTTGCGAGGGCCAGAGCTGTGCCAATCTGAAGCCAAGAGTTAGGAGCTTCCTCTGCGTCTCCAACATGGGTGTAGGGGCCCAAGGACTTGAGCCATCTTCTACTGCTTTCCCAGGCCATAACAGAGAGCCAGATCGGAATTAAAGCAGCCTGGACACAAACTGGCGCCAATATGGGATGCCATCACTGCAGGGAGCAGCTTTACCCGCTGTGCCACTCAGCAGGGTTTTATAGTTTTCATTGTACAAGTCTCTCATCCTCTTGGTTCATTCCTAAGTACTTTTATTTTTGATTGTCTTCTAAATAGAATTGTTGTCTTAATTTGCACTCAGATTGCTCATTTTTAGTACATGGAAAAGCAATTGACTTTTTTTTTTTTATCTTTTTCCGATTGATATTTGTGTATTAACTTTATATCCAGTATTCAGGTTGCCAAATTAATTAAGTGTGAAAAGTTTTTTGTGGAGCCTTTAGGTTTTCTGCATAAAAGAACACATCTGCAAACTCAGATAATTTTACTTCTTCCCTTTGAATTTCAATGTCTGTTAACATTTTTCTTGACTAATTTCCTTCCCTAATTGCTGAGTATATACTTCTGAATTGTATATACTACATTGAATTGAAGTGGTAAAAGCAGACATTATTGCATTGTTCCTTTTCTTAATGGAAAAACTTTCAGTTTCAGTATTGAATATGTGTGCTGGGGGTTTTTCATACATGGTTTCTACTGTGTTGCAGTAGCTTCATACAGTAGTTTTTCTGAATTTTTTTATATCATGGATATTCGATTTTTGTCAAATGCTTTTTAGCATCAAATGAGATGAGATGATCACGTGGTGATTTCCCTTCATTCTGTTAATGGTATTGAGTTGTACATATGTTGAACCATTTTTGCATCATGGGAATAAATCCTATTTGCCATGGTGTATAATTGTTCAATGTAGCACTGAATTTATTTTGCTGGTATTTTATTGAGGATATTACATCAATGCTTATAAAAGATACTGCTCTGCAGTTTTCTTTTCTCATGGTGTCTTTGTCTTTCTTTGGTATTTGGGAAATTCGGGTTCATAGAGTGAATTAGCAAGTTACCTCTCTTCAATTTTAGGGGAAACTTTGAGAAATATCAGTGTTGGTTCATCACAAAATGTTTGAATGCAGTCATGAAGTCATGAAGCCCAAGACTTCTCTTTGTTGAGAAATTTTTGAATATTGATTCAATGTTCTTACTAGGTACAGATCTATTCACATTTTCTATTTCTTTGTGGTTTAGTATAGATGAGTATTGTGTTTCTAGGCATTTATCCATTTCATCTAGGTAGTCCAGTTTGTTGATGTGCAGTTGTTCATGGTATTCTCTTACTGTCCTCTTTTCACTTGTAGAATCATAGCAATGTCCTCACTTTTATTCCCAATATAATAGAGTCTTCTCACTTTTATCTTTGTTCATCTTGCTAAATGTTTCTTAATTTTGTCGATCTTTTCAGAGAACCAACAGCTGGGATCATTGATTTTCTCTATTATATTCTACTCTTGATTTAATTTATTCATGCTTTAATCCTGGTTCTTTCTTCCTTTGGCTAGCTTTGGATTTAGTTTGTTCTCTTTTTTCTAGTTCCTTAACTAGAAACTTTCCTAGTTCCTTAACTTATTGATCTGAGATTGTCCTTCTTTTGTATAAGCATTTCTATGTATACAATTTTCCTGTTAGCAATGTTCTCACCACAGGTTTGGGTATGTTGTATTTTCCTTTTTCATTTGTGTCTAAGTACGTTATATTTCCTCTCATGATTTCTTTTTTGTTCCATTATTTGTTTAAGGGTGTGTTGTTTAGTTTCCACCAATTTTGTGAATTTTCCAGTTTTCTGCCAGTCATTGATTTATAACTCAGCCTGTTAGAGTAGTCAGTTTTTGTGATATCTATCTTTACAAATCAGTAAGACTTAATTTATGTCATAACATTTGATCTGTCCTGGAAAGTATTGCATGAGAAATTCAATGGTATCTTTACTTTCAAGCTAACAAGATCCACACAGGAATGTAAACTAGTTTCTTAGAATTTTGAAACTATCATAGACTCTCTTAAACTAGTGTGTTTAGGTTCTCTAGAGGCAGAGATGTGGCATATATCTAAGGTAATATTCTTCAGGAAGAGGGAAAAACAAACCCTTTAAGGGAATTAGAAAAGGATGAGGAATGAGAAAGAGCCAAATAAACAGCAGGTCCCCTTAGTCTCATGAGATAGAGGGGCTTGGTAGACTGTAGCAATAAATATGCAGAACTGCCTTTGCTTGAAGTGAGGGAACTCACCTCCTGCCCTTCTGCATTCATTCACTGTCTGTGTATTGTGGGTGGGGAAGACAAATGGTAACCTCCCAGGCAAGGAACTCCAGTATCCAGTGAAGGGGGTAATCTCTTAACATTTGTAGCCACACTCAACAGTTCAACTGTACTGGGACTGGGGCACCAACCACTGAGAGGATCTCTGCAGGTCACCATTAACAGCTATACACATTATATACCACCAACTGGCAACATTAGCTTACTGTACTTTTGTTATTAAATATTTATCTCATGGGATGCTTGATCTGCTTTATTCTAGTGTTTAGTCATCTCAATGGTTGTTGCTAATCTCATTTTGTTTAGACATAGAAAACAAAAATTTTGCTTTTATTGACTTTAAAGCTCATTAGCCCTGCCATCTTTTTACTGTTATGGATAGCTACAGAATGGCTAGTGTGCTAATAGGATCAGTGTATTAGATTTTCACAAATATTTGGTTATAATCTATTTTTTTGTTTCTTCATTAAATATTATGTTAGTTTTCTATAATAGCAAAACAAATTATCAAGAAATGAACCACTTATAACACCACAAGTTAAGAGTCTAACATATTTTAGCTGCAGCTTCTGTCCAGTGTTTTTCAAGACTGAAATCAAGGTATTGGTCAGCTGTATCCTCATCCAGAAGCTCAACTAGGAAAATAACCACCTCCAAGCTTGCCCCAGTGGTTATGCAAAATGAGAGAGAGAGAGAGAGAGAGAGTGAGAGTGAGAGAGAGTGAGAGTGAGAGAGAGAAAGAGAGATCTTCCATCTGCTGGTTCATTCCCCAAATGGCCACAAAAGCTGGAGCTGATCCAAGCTGAAGCCAGGAGCCAAGAGCTCCATTTGGGTCTCCCAGGTAGGTGACAGGGGCCCAAGTTCTTGGCACATCTGTTGCTTTCCTGGGCACATTATAAATATGGATATGAATATGGATATGAAGTGGAACAGTTGGAATTCAAATCAGCACTCCTGATATGTGATGCATTGCAGGTAGCAGCTTAGCTTGCTATGCCACAATGCTGGCCCCCTGGAGTATCACCCTTTCTACTCAAAAGGAGTGTTTTTGTTTTCCAGATGTAGTGGAATATAAAATCCATCAAGAAATTGAAAGTACAGAATCCGTCTGCAGTATAATAGCAAGACTAAATATATAACTGTAAATAGAGCTTTGAGGAAAGAACATCAATAGATGCTAAATCTAGAGGGAAAATTATGATAAGAGTAGAAGATTGACTTGGTTTCCCTACAGTTGCTTACTATTTCAAAGAGGAATGCTATAACTATACAGAGGAGAGGCCGGCGCCATGGCTCACTAGGCTAATCCTTCGCCTGCAGCGCCAGCACCCCGGGGTTCTAGTCCTGGTTGGGGCACTGGATTCTGTCCCGGTTGCCCCTCTTCCAGTCCAGCTCTCTGCTGTGGCCCGGGAGTGCAGTGGAGGATGGCCCAAGTGCTTGGGTCCTGAACCCTCATGGGAGACCAGGAGAAGCACCTGGCTCCTGGCTTCGGATCAGCGCGGTATGCCAGCCGCAGTGCGCCGGCCGTAGCGGCCATTGAGGGGTGAACCAATGGAAAAGGAAAAGCTTTCTCTCTGTCTCTCTCTCTTTCTCACTGTCTAACTCTGTCTGTCAAAAAAAATAATAATAACTATACAGAGGAGAAACCATATAACATCTTGATCAAATTTTTTTAGAAAACTTTTATTTAATAAATATAAATTTTGAAAGTACAACTTTTGGATTATAGTGGTTTTTTTCCCCCCATAACCACCCTCCCATCTACAAACCATCCCATCTCCTACTCCCTCTCTCATCCCATTCTTCATTAAGATTCATTTTTAATTTTGATCAAATGTTGACAGAAAATTTCTTGGGGCTGATGCTATGGTGCAGCAGGTGAAAGCCACGATGTATGCACGCTGGTTCAAATCTCAGTTACTCCATGTCTAATCCAACTCCCTGCTAATGGCCTGGGAAAGCAGCAGAGGATGGCCCAATGCCTTGGGTCCTTGCACTCCATGAGAAACTGGGAAGAAGCTCTTGTCTCCTGGCTGCAGCCTTGCCCAGCCCTGGCCATTCCAGCCATTAGGGAGTAAACCAGTGGATGGAAGATATCTCTCTCTGTCTAACTCTCACTTCAAATAAATCAATCTTCTTTTTAGAAAATTTCTTATGGGTCTCTGTTAGTTTCTCATGACCAGAAACACTTCATTTTATTCTAGATTATTAGTTTGAAGATATTTTTACAGAAAACATCATTGGAAGATAATGTTTCTCCATAGCCAAAAACAGTAATGCTTACTGCCTATTATAAAAGATTTAGGTTCCCCAAGCTCTAGGTCTCTCTTTTGTAATACAACCCACTAAATGTGCAGGCATCCATCAGAGCCCATTTGATTCACCCCTGTGAAATTTCTGTGCCAGAGGAACTGATGTAAATATTCTGATTTTCATATTACCTTCAGTGCTATTAATAATAATATTCTTTGTGTCTGACCTAGATAGCATTACCAATATCTTCTACCAGCATCAGTGAAACTGCTGTTTCTTTTTTGGTCTCCTGTAATAGAGAATTCATGTCCTTCTATCTTTAAAGACTGTATGGAAGTATTTGTGTAAATGTGTCATCTTTTTTTTTTTCCTAGTAGTTCTTTATCTGTCCTTTGCATTTTTTTTTGAAAGAGAGAAAGACACAGATCTGCCTTTTTAAAATGTATTTATGTATTTGAACAAGAAAGAAGCAGAGAGAGGGGGGAAAGACAAGAGACAGAGATATTTCATCCACTGGTTCACTCCCCCAAATACCTGCAGCAGCCATGACTTGGCCAAGCTGAAGCTAGGAACCTAGAATTCAATCTGAATCTCTCATATAAATGGCAGCAACTGCAGTACTTGAGCCATCACTGCTGCCTCCTAGGGTACATATTAGAAAGACTTTGGAGCTGGAAGCAGATCCAGGAGTTGAATTAAGACACTCTGATATGAGATGCAGGCATCCCAAATGGTTTCTTAATCATGGTACCAAACACCTGCCCTCATTTTCTTTTTCTTTGTTTAAAATAGATTTTCAATGCAAAAATTCTGAATCACTCACCTTTAAATGGTGGCAGTTCTATTAATTTAGTCTATAATTTGTACAAGAACAGGATAAATAATCTGATGTATTCTTCTCCTTGCATTGAGAGTTATTTTGATTGCATCCTCAGAACTTCAGCTAGAAGAATGAATATTAGTTTATGATTTGGGATAAAATTAGCTGTTTATGATATAGAAAATCACAAGCTACAAATCAAGTGAAGAGAAGGGAGAACTAATATGGATTTGTTTGGCTTTGCTTCTGTTTGTGTGTTTTAGACAAAAGAATCAGCTTCCATGGATGGATATTGAGACTGAGATAATTTAATGGGATAAAAATGAGATCCATTCCACCATCTTCACCCATACTTTTCTGAGAGGAAATACTAAATCATCAAAAAGAATCCATTGGAGGATTACATCATTTTTCTTGAGTGATTCATACAGACTTATTTCAAGCTGAAGTTATGGCTCCTGTAATATGGACAAGCTCATGAAAAGCCAGAAGATCTTTATTTAGGAATTCCAGGATTTTTTATTTCCCAAGGAGTAGTCAAAATCACATTACTATGAAAGTTATACTTCCCTCATATTATCCTGAGTCATGTTGTCTTGGAAAGAAAGGTAATAGTCATGGTGGTGAGCTGCCCTAATCATTAAGGAAATGGCAGCAGCTCTTTCCTATGAAGACACCAATCCAGAATCAGTGCACTCTCTGCCCCATCTACACAACCTGACCCTATGAGGTTCCCTTAGAGAACTCCTGTGTTCCTCTGGCAGTGCCCAGGCCAAGGAAAACCCCATCACTGTCTCTAGACAAAGCCTGGGTAATTGAAGCACATACAGTGATGCAGCTCTTCCATCATATGGAAAGAAGTTGAATGTCCTTTGTGTCGCTCCCCCTCTTCGTGGAGGAACGACACAGGACCCTGCGCTGTTCTTTCATCTGCTCGGCCCTCCCCGGGTTTGCTGCTGGTTCTTCCCGGGTTGGCTACCGACCCTTCCACCTCCGTGGAAGGGCGGTTCCCCCTGCCACTTTCCCCACTTCCACGGGGGAGCAGCACACCGCTGGCCGGCTCTCTCGGGGGCTGCACAGGTGTTCCTTCAGATAGATGTTCCTGGTGCATGTTGTCTCTCTCCTCCTTTATAGTCCTCTTCCACCAATCCCAACTCTGCTACCCACACGCCGAGTACGCTGCTCTCCTCCAATCAGGAGCAGGTCCTACTGTTTATTGGTTGAACTGGAGGCAGCTGTGTAGAAGCTGTTTGCTCCTCTCCCAGCGCCATATTGTGGGAGAGCAGATGCATAGAATAAGTCTTAATTCCAGTAACAGTATAGTCCGAGTTGCTCCCCACACTTTGAAAATGGATGAAGATCCTAGGCTGAAGCAAGCTCTCCAGGAAGATGGTTAGTGTTTGGGGAGCCAGAGGTCAGAAATGAGGGATGAACTGCAGACTTTCCATGCTTTCTCCTTCCCTCCAGCAGGACCAAGGAAAGAATCAGGTAAAGTTACAGTTCTTGTGTTCACCTGTTTGCATCTATTGGTAACGCATATTTTAAAATTGTTCAAAATAGCCGCTGAAATTGTCATTGTAGCTTAATATTTAGCCTGGAAACATACAGTTTTGGTCCTTGAAAAAGCAATCCATCCACATTAGGACTAAAGGGTCACTTTTCCATCCCCTGCAGCCCTCTAAGATCCAATCAGGAGACAGAAACCACAGCAGTTATTTGAGTAGAAAGAATGTCATGTAAATAATGGTAATTTACATTAAAGGTACTAACTTCCAAATGGGGAAAAAGAACTGTGAGCAATCATGGAAATATAAGGGGACTTAAAATTTTATGAAAAATGAATACTATGAAAACCTATGCAGCCGGCGCTGCAGCTCACTAGGCTAATCCTCTGCCTTGCGGCGCCGGCACACCGGGTTCTAGTCCCGGTCAGGGCGCCGGATTCTTTCCCGGTTACCCCTCTTCCAGGCCAGCTCTCTGCTGTGGCCAGGGAGTGCAGTGGAGGATGGCCCAAGTGCTTGGGCCCTGCACCCCATGGGAGACCAGGATAAGTACCTGGCTCCTGCCATCGGATCAGCGTGGTGCGCTGGCCGCAGTGCGCCTTCCGCGGCAGCCATTTGAGGGTGAACCAACGGCAAAGGAATTGACCTTTCTCTCTGTCTCTCTCTCTCACTGTCCACTCTGCCTGTCAAAAATAATAAAAAAATTAAAAAAAATTTAAATAAAAAAAAAGAAAACCTATGCATGTGATTCAAAAAAGTGTGCATCAAAAAATAAACTTATAGTTTAATTCCATTTCTCCATGAACTTTTGACTGTGTGCCCTTTTAGCAATGTCAGGAGGCAAGCACTGCTCCCAATCCTGAGGGTAGAAGGTAAAAAACAGAAAACCTTAGAAACTTGGGAAAGGGGGTCTGTGGTGCTAAAACCTAGGCCCCTATGGAACAGACTTCAGCCACTTGATGCTGATGAGGGTAGTGATGTGGGCTCTGCAAGTCTGGAAAATACTGGAAACAGGATTTAGCTGCTATTACAAAAAAATATGACTGCTGCAGGGCTGAAAAAAGTGTGGCCAGAGTGATTTTCAGTAGGAACCACAAGCAGATAGAAAGTCATCAAGAAGCAAACAGGAAGCAAGTCCTCTCTTCCTCTCCAGTATCTACCTTTCATGGCCTCTGCCGGAAGATGCCAAGCTGGAGCCACTTAGTGGAGCAGAAATGTGGTCTGCAGTGTCCAGGGCACACACTATCACAAGGAGAGAAAGGGAGACTGAGGTGCAGGTAAGAAACAGTATCTGGTACAGGATGAATAAGAGAGTAAACAGGAAACTTATCTCAATGTGTTAGTGATGCATGTAAAGGTAAATGGTGGCTTCATGGAAAACCTCACTCTCTGCTCCCACCCACTTACCCCATCAGCTCTCTTTCCTGCTGACACACCCATCCACCAAGGCACCATTAGAGAATAATCCTTGATGCTTACCCTTTCATACCTTGTGTTCAATTATCAACTAGACTTCTGTCTGTCACTCTCAGTGTCTGTAACTCTACCTCTCAAATAAATAAAATCTTTTAAAGGGTGGGGGGGGGACCACCGGTTCTAGTCCGGGCTGCTCCTCTTCCAATCTAGCTCTCTGCTATGGCTTGGGAAAGCAGTAGAAGATGGCCCAAGTCCTTGGGCCCCTGCACCCACACGGAAGACCGGGAAGAAGCTCCTGCCTGGCTTCGGATTGGCGCAGCTCCAACCATTGCGGCTATTGAAGAGTGAACCAATGGATGGAAGACCTTTCTCTCTGTCTCTCCCTCTCACTGTCTGTAACTCTATCTCTCAAATAAATAAATAAAATCTTTTTAAAAAATTATCAACTAGAGTCAGTTTTGCCACTTAAATGAACTTCTCCACATACATTGTCACTAAACCAGTTTAGGCACACATCATTTCTGCATGTTCTAACACAACATCCTTAGCAGTGCTATTGCTCTGTGCAGTTTCATCTCCTTTTAGTCTAATGAGTCTTATCCCCAAGCAATGCAGTAGTATCATCTGAGAACCATTTTAAAATATTCCCAAGAATGTGGATTTAATTGGTTTGGGTTGTAACCTGAGGATCAGCAATTTTTTTTTTTTTTTTTTGTACAGGCAGAGTTAGACAGTGAGAGAGAGACAAAAATTAATTAATTTGAAAGGCAGAGTGACAGAAGGAGGGATCGAGAGAGGGGAGAGAGATGTTCCATCTGTTTATTCACTTCCCAAATAACCCACAACAGCCAGGGCTGGGCCAGGTCAAAGCCAGGAGCCAGAAATTCTGTCCATGCCTGCTTCGTGAGTGGCAGGAACCCATGTACTTGGGCCATCATCCGCTACCTCCTAGAGTGTGCAGTAGCAGGAAGTTGAGTGAGAAGCAGAAGCAGGGCTCAATCCCAGGCACTCCAAAATGTGATATGGACATCCGAAGAGGCAGCTGAACATGCTGTGCCACAGTGCCCCTGAATCAGCTTTGTGCGCTGCATTCCCTGTAGTTCAAAAGTTTATCCAGCCTTGACAGCCATTATTTTAGTCTTTCTTCCATGTCAGTCTCATATCATCATTATTTTTTGATGTGCAAATCCTATAATGTGTCAATATACCACCCCAAATCCTCATTGATTACCCAAACCAGCAGATGATGTAACTAATGGGCATACTCATATTTCCTCTTAATCTGGTTCCCACATGCTTTTTTTCAGTCCTGCTAATTCTTTTCCCAAACACTCTCACTGACCTGAAAAGGCCTAACCTCATTCTCAAACAGCATTAAGCTTGTTGCAATTTCCTGAACAAAGGAGGCTCTGTCACCTGTGCAGACACCTGTACGTGTGTTCTCTTCCATCCCTCCCAGAAAGACTCTCACTCAAACCACAGTGAAGTTGAATCACATAATTAAGAATACATAATGTAATGTCAGCGTTTTAACTGTAGTGGTTTAAAGTGTTTTTGTCATCCAGTTTTTTATTCTCCTCTCAAAACACTTGACAGTCAGATTTACAGAGGACTCTAATAAATATTTTTTTGAAAAGTGGGAGTATTTTATTAGGTAAGTGAGAGAACAAAGGAAGCAAGGAGAAAGCAACAGCAGAGCTCTCAGATCATAAGACAGGGGGAGAGGACCCCAGAGCTGGCTGTCCGTCATAAATATTCTCAAATATAGGTTTTTCTGATAGCTTTGAGATCAGTGGACTAGGTAAAAGTTCCAGAACTCAGAGGAAAATAAAAAAATTGTTTATGCAAATAAATCAAAAGTAGTTACTTAAGACAAGGTAAATTAATAAAGTTGTAGATTTTGCGCCTTTTGTTTAAAATATTGTAAGTTCTGTATTTGTTTTCTAGGCTCAGGAAAATGTTTTCCTCTTCTCTGTTTTGTTCTAGTTTTGTAAATTTAATCAATTATTTAATTCATTCTTTAATTCTTCCAAAATGCAAAAATTTTCTAAGGATTTTTGTGCTTTTTTGTGGCAATGTGATTATTTGCATGAGTTCAATAAGAATCTCCTCTTATCATAACAAGATAGAGTTGACAACATTGGCATATCTATGATAAAACATCTTTTGCTAATGTGCTTAATACAAATAGTCAGCAAATTAAAACAACACTTTCTTTGAAATGTGAATGCCAATTGTTTCAGATTTGCTAACCTTGAGAATTTTCTGTTTGGTGATTGGGTAACCTTGTTCAGTGTTTTCAACATACAACCTTGATTTGTTACGTTCTTGTTGGCTTTTTATATATTTTCCTCTGTGAGATTCACGCATAATACCTGTCAGGATTCTACACAAGTGCATCTCACAGCGAGATAGTGCTGGCCTGGCACTTGGAGAGGATGCCTTGTGACTATACAACAGATAAAGTGAAGTTTAACACTGGACTCTAGTTGCAGTTGCCTAGGGACCACTTCTAAAACTTCTTTGTTTCTTAAATGTGGCTTATGAGGTTTTTGACACTATCTCCTGGACATCAAATACTTCTCTCCCTATGAATGCCCAGATTAACAACCACGTCAAATCTGACCTGGCACCAAGGGACAAGTAGAAGCTGTCCTTAAGGTGATTGATCAAGGTCAGAACTGTGGCACAGCAGGTTAAGCCACTGCCTGCAGTGCAGGCATCCTGTATGGGCACTGGTTTGAGTCCCAGCTGCTCCACTTACAATCTGGCTCTTCGCTGATGCACCTGGGAAAGCACAGAAGATGGCCCAGGTCTTTGGACCCTGTCACCAATGGGGAAAACCTGGAAGAAGCTCTTGACTCCTGGCTTTAGCCTGGCCCAGGCCCAGTTGTTGCAGCCATTTGGGAAGTGAACCAACAGATGGAAGATCAATCTCTCGATCTCTCTCTCTCTGCTTCTCCCGCTTTTTCTGTGACTCTGCCTTTCAAATAAATAAGTAAATATTTTTTTAAATGTTAGCTGTTATTGTCCCTAGGTGGTGGGATTATATAAATCTTTTTTATTCTCTATACTTTTCTGTAGCTTGTAGATTTTCTGTAATTACATATACAACTATTTCTAAGCAGAAAAATAACATCATGAATTATGGGAAAATCATTTACATATTTAAAAATCCACCAAATATATCTCCATATCTGGATTTTTTTGATTCCTGAGTTAAGATAGAAGAATTTGATTATTGAAATAGGGTAGTGAGGAATACTAACATTTGCTCTCCTCCCAAACACACAAAATGTATTTTCCTTTTGGCCACTAGATGGTAGTCTTTTCACATACATCACTCCATTTATAATGCTGATATCTTTGTGAAGATTGTGCACAAATAACATGCATATTTTTATTTTTCAACTAACAAATTATAATACTGTTTATATTTAGAAGATATTTCAATACTTGCTAATGTATTTTTTCATAATCTAAAATTTAAATCATTTTTTTCATAAACATCAAATTTATTGGTGTCATCACTACATGTTCTATTTTCAGTTAGCTCCAATACTTAAAAGTTGGCATAAATTTGAATTTCTCTTTGCTTTTTTTCTTTAACTTTAAAAAGTTAATTTGAGAGACGGAGATTGACAAAGAGAGACCAAGCACTAACACTCATTCATTCTCCAAATGCAGCAACTAGAACTTGGCCAGAACAAACCTAGGAACTGAAAACTCAATCCGTGTCTCCTACGTGAGTGGCAAGGAAACAACTATTTAACCCATTACCTGTTGCCTCCCAGGGTCCATGTTGTCAAGAATGTTAGAATTGGAAGCCAGAGGCAAATCTTGAACTAGGTACTCTGATATGGGAAACAGGCATCTTAATGATTAAGCCGAATGTCTGCCCCTGTTTTTTTATTCTTACTTTAGGCTGTGAACTTGCAGATGATACTCACAGAAAGTACTTATTATAACTAGTGATAGTCAAACCTAATGAGGTTGCCACCCTCCTAATTCTATCAATCTATCAACACTGGCAGAGACCTAAGAAAAGGCATTCATGGGGAGTCAAAGGTTAGAGGGCAAGAGAGGAGATATTTCTGTGTCAGAATGATTCTAAATCTTGTTTGAAATAATGTATCTAGGGATATTAATGAATACATGTAAGATTTTAGAGGATAATAGATCCTTCAGTAAGATTTTTTTTAAACGGCTGTCACCATTCCTACCACTCTTTGCATATAGAATACACAGGGGCGGAAGAAATCTCCACTCCTCTCCTGAACTGTGTTCTCCTTCTTCAGTCCTCTTTCCCCAAAGTCTGATTGTTGCCAAAATGATTCTTCAGGAGCAAGTGCATTTGGCCTAGCAAATGAGACTCCTGCGTCCCACACCAGAGTACCTGCGTTTGATTCCTGGCTCCGGCTCCTAATTCCAGCTTTTTGCCAATGCAACCCTGGGAGGCAGCAGTGATGACTCAAGTAACTGAGTTCCTGCCACCCACATGGGAGACCTTTGTTGTGCTTCTTGTTTCTGGCTGCAGCCTAGCACAGTCCTGGCTGCATTGTGGGCAAATCTGGGTAGCGAACCAATACGTGGTAGCTTGCTTTCTTGCTCCGTCTTCTGTCTCTCTATCTCTTAAATAACTGTCTTATGTCTCAGTCTCTCTGTCTGCCTTTCAAATAAATAAAAAATGTTTAATAGATTCCTCTTCATATTTCACTTTAGTTGGACGATGACACGTATGCCTGGTATCACATTTCTAGTTTACAATAAACAGTACTCAGGGAATGAATCAAATTTGGTAGACTCAGAGTTGATTTTCTGCCAGACCAACTGGGTTCTTTGCTTTTGGACACGTGAGATGCATTTCTAGTGTCTAAATTTTTAGGCTGAATGTTACATTCAATGGTAATTACAACACATTAGAAAATAATGTAATAAACATAATAATTTTATAATTATTCTGATTACAGAATACATGTTCTTTATAAAATTTTTAGAGTACTTTAAAAGCTCAAAGGAGAAAAAGTCATTCATAATTATTTCCTCAAACCAAGCAAAGTCTCCTAGAACTGGTTATAAAACCAATTAGTACCATTTATGTCTAATGATGTAAGTCTAATATCTCTGCATTCTTATCATTTTCCCTGGTGAAATTTTATTTATGGTTCTATTGCTATTATGAATAATTTTAAAGGTAGTAACAAAAATACAGTGTGTTTTGGTCTGAAACTAGACATCAACTTATAATTAAAATCACCCTTTAATATTTTATTTCCTTAGGATTAATTTTTTTTAATTTATGTTAACTCACAGGGCTACAGATGAACCCTGAAGCATGGAAATGTATCTATTTGTCTGAATCAATCTTTCTTAATATAACAGAAATTCGAAACGCTGTTCTTGTGATTCTGCAGTCTGCAGTGCGGCCTTAGCAAGTTAATTATCTTCTTTGTGCGCTTAATCCTCTTCCAGTGCAGCCCTCCTCGCTTCTGTATGCTGCACCATTCAGAGGGGATGAATGTTTCCCTTTATCCTCCGTATACAGAAATAGGAAAAAAATGGAATTCAAATACAAGATTGAGAAGCCTAAATTTTGCATCAAACTAAAACATATGGGTTCACAATCAAGAAAAGTAAGTGTCCTAGTCCTTTGGTACATTTCATGATTTTAATTTTAAAATCAGAAGATTATAAGTCAGTATTTAACATGAGTATTGTTTGGTTTTTAATTGTTTTTGTAATCTGTTCAAACTCTGAAATGGCACCATATTGTGTAATTAATTGCTACTACGTGTGAATATAACATAAATCTTGAAAAAAAACACAACTATAGATTTCTTTTTACGTTTCTGATTAATCCAGTCAAAGAACATTTGTGGAGCAAGCACTAAGATGACTAGCACACAGCTTTTACTTGGAGTCTGGAGAAGGGTCACAGAAATATATAATTAAAACATATTCAAAAATATTTAGCCAGTGCTACTGTATTTCAGGCAATGTTTTAGTGATTGGGGATAGAGCAGTGAACAAAACACACAAAACCTTCTAATTGCATGGAGGTTATATTTTAGTGGAGCAGACACACAGTGAATAAAGCCTTCCTGTATCACCATTCCAATATTCAAAGGTCATCAGAAACTTTCCTAGCTCTTTAAGCAATTGTCCCTGGAATACGTCACTTCTATTACCTCTGCCATATCTGGTCATATGAGGTGTCAGGATTCATATAAGAACTACTTCCCGGGACTGGTGTTGTGGCACAGCAGGTTAAGTCACCATCTTCAGTGCTGGCATCCCATATGTAGTATGGGTGCTCACTTCTGATCCAGCTCCCTGCTAATGCACTGGGAAAGCAGTGGAAGATGGCCAAAGTCCTTGGGCCAATGCCACCCTTGTGGGAGACCCAGAAGAAGCTCCTGGCTCCTGGCTCCTAGCCTCCGCCTGGCCCAGCCCCAGCAGTTGTGACCATTTTGAGAGTGCACCAGTGGAGGGAAGATCTCTGTCTCTCCTCCTCTCTCTGTGTCACTTTCAAATAAATAAATCTTAAACAAACAAACAAACAAACAAAAAAACTACTTCCTGAACATGTAAGTGGATGGTTTC